TTGCGAGCCGTGGGTTGGCCACTCCTGGTCTAGACAGTACCGGGTCCTGCCATGAGGGCAGGAGATTGCACTCGATGATCTCTCGAGGTCCCTTCCACTTCTAGCGTTCTATGATTCGGGCAAGAGGAGGGAGATCAGAGAGGGCTCACCCCACACGTTGGGGATTTCCAATGTCTTCCTTCATTGGCCAGACACTTTGTCAGTGTCCCGTGGGTTGGCCACTCCTGGTCTAGACAGTACCGGGTCCTGCCATGAGGGCAGGAGATTGCACTCGATGATCTCTCGAGGTCCCTTCCACTTCTAGCGTTCTATGATTCGGGCAAGAGGAGGGAGATCAGAGAGGGCTCACCCCACACGTTGGGGATTTCCAATGTCTTCCTTCATTGGCCAGACACTTTGTCAGTGTCGCTGACTCCTCACCTGTGCCGCTGCCTCTTAGGATCATCTTTTCCTCGGAGACTTGGAGATCCGGGACCCACGGATCTTCCCCTGCTTCCAGCCGGGCGATCAAGTCAGGTTTGGGAACGGGGAGTCCTGCCCAGGGGGTGAAAACAGACATTCTTAAAGTGCACCGGAGTTTTTGTCGCAAAGGACACAGACCATGCAACAAGTTCTTGGAATGCATTGGAGATATTTTTTCATGATGCAGGAAAAGCAATTAAGGGAGAGGCTGCTCTAGATTTGATTTTGATAAACGAGGAGGAACTGGCTGAGAATTTGAAAGTGGAAGGTGCCTTGGGAGAAAGTGACCGTGATTCTAAGCTAAGGAACGGGAGGAGAGAGACCAGCAAACTAAAGACAGATTGCAAACTCAAACGTTACCAAACTCAGGGGCTGTGTCTAGACTGGCAAGTTTTTCCGCAAAATCATCTGCTTTTGCGGAAAAACTTGCCAGCTGTCTACACTGGCCGCTTGAATTTCCGCAAAAAATCTCATGTAAGATTGTCAGTGCTTTTGCAGAAATACTATGCTGCTCCCGTTCAGGCAAAAGTCTTTTTCCGAAAAACTTTTGCGCAAAAGGGCCAGTGTAAATAGCTCAGATTTATTTTCCGCAAAAAAGCCCTGATCGCGAAAATGGCGATCGGGGCTTTCTTGCGGAAAACCACGTCTAGATTGGCCACGGATGCTTTTCCGCAAAAAGTGCATTTGCGGAAAAGCGTCCTGCCAATCTAGACGCGCTTTTCCGAAAATGCTTTTAACGGAAAGTTTTAAACTTTAAAACTGGCATTTCCGGAAAATCATGCCAGTGTAAACATAGCCAGGGAGTTGGTAGGTTAGATCCCATGGGAAGCACATCTAAGAGGACAAACGATTGAAGGCAGTTGGCAGTTTTGCAAAAAAAAAAAAAAAAGACAGAATTAAGGAGTACAAGACCAAAGTGCTCCCCTAGGCAGGAAATTTAGGAAGTCTGGCAAGAAACCACCCTGGCTTCACCAGGAGAACCTGAACTATGTAAAAATCAAAAGAGTCTTGCAAAAAGTGGAAGCTAGGTCTAATTACGAAGGATAAATATAAACAAATAACCCAAGCATGTAGGGGCAAAATTAGAAAGGTCAAGGCACAAAATGAGATCAAACTTGCTAGAGACATGAAGGGTAACCTGAAACCACTCTGCAAATACGTTAGAAGAGGAAGACCAAGGACGAAATAGGCTTGTTACTCAACGAAGAGGAAAAACTATAAAGCTGCATCTACACTGAAGTGCTATTCAGACATCCCCGTAAACCTCATTCCATGAGTAAGAGACGTTTCGTAATAGCGGGTTATTTCAAAATTTGGCGCTGTACAGGAAGTGCCAAATGATGAAATCAGCTATTTCGAAACTGACTCGAAATAAGCTACGCAATTTGCATAGCTCAAATTTCGCAGCTTCTTTCGAGCGCCGGGTGCAGTGTAGACACACTCAAACAGAAAATGTGGAAATAGCCAAGGCGTTTAATGACTTCTTTGTTCTGATTTTCACCAAGAAGGTTGGTAGTGGTTGGACAACTGAATGCCACTGAAAATGGGGTAGGTTCAGAAGCTATGATAGGGGAAGAACAAGTTAAAAATTACATAGATGCGTTCGATGTCTTCGAGTCAACTAAGATACATTTCGTCAGGCCCTGAAAACTCAAGGACCTGACGGTGGAGACATCTGAGTCATTAGTAATGGTCTTTGAAAAGCCATGGAAGACAGGAGAGATTCCAGAAGACTGGAAAAGGGCAAATAGCGTTCCCGTTCTATGAAAAGGGAAATAAGAACCACCCAGGAAACCGCAGACCAGTCGGTTTAGCTTCTATGTCAGGGAAGATAATGGAGCGGGTCATTAAGGAATCCATCTGCAAACATCTGGAAGAAAATCAGGTGATAGGGAACAACCAGCACGGATTTGTAAAGAAAAAATCATGTCAAACCAATCGGATAGCTTTCTTTGAAAGGATAACGAGTCTTGCGGATAAGGGAGAAGTGGTGGATGTAGTATACCTAGACTTCAGTAAGGCATTTGACACGGTCTCGCATGATTTTCTTATCAATAAACTAGGCAAACACAACTTAGAGGTGGTTGTTTAACTGGCTGGATAACCATTCTCAGGCTACGTCTTTACGACGAGTTTTCTCGGCAAAAAATACGCTAACGAGGGACTCAGTTGCATGAGTCGCGATCTCATTTGCCTATGTTCTGCCAATCCGTTTTTGCACTCGTGGATTTTGTGGGTGTTTCCTTTTTGTGCAACACCCCCTTTTTTGCAAGATCAGTATACCTCCTTTTTTGCAGTATACGAGTTGCAGAAAAAGGGGGCTTTCCGCAAAAAGAAAATGTCCACCCGGCTTGTTTTTGCACAAAAACGGGATTGGTGGAAAATATGCAAATGAGATCACAATTCATGCAAATGAGTCCCTCATTAGCATATTTTTTGCCAAGAAAACTCACAGTGTAGAGTACACATAACCTCAGAGAGTCGTTATTAACGGTTTACAATCCTGCTGGAAGGGCATAACAAGTGAGATTCCATAGGGGTCTGTTTTGGGGCCAATTCTGTTCGGTATTTTCATCGATTTCAATATCGGCATAGAGAGGACGCTAATTAAGTTTGCAGATGATCCCAAGCTGGGAGGGGTTGCGACTGCTCTGGAGGACAGGGTCAGAATTCAAACTGATCTGGACAAACTGGAGAAAAGGTCGGAGGTCAATAGGATGACGTTGAATAAGGACAAATGCAACGTGCTCCACTTAGGAAGGAACAATCCGTGTCACACACACAGAACGGGAAGCGATTGTCGAGGAAGGAGTCCTGCAGAATGGATCATAGTGGACCACAAGCTAAATATGAGTCAACAGTGCGACACTGTTGCACAAAAAGCCAACCTGATTCTGGGCTGCATGAGCAGGTGTGTTGTGAGCAAGACACGAGAAGTCGTTCTTCCGCTCTACTCTGCACTAGTTAGGCCTCAACTGAAGTATTGTGTCCAGTTCTGGGCACCACATTTCAGGAAAGATGTGGACAAATAGAAGAGAGTCCAGAATACGGATGTCGACGTGGCGTCAATTACACGATTAACTGATAAGCCTGTTCTTATTGGTTATCTCATCAAGTACATGTACTCTCCCACCCTTGCTACCTCTGATACAGAGGCAGCAAGGGGGGGAGGGAGGCAGGAGCTGATGAGAGAAGGGTCCCATATGAGGAGAGATTAAAAAGACGGGGACTTTTCCGCTTGGAAAAGAGGAGACTAAGCAGGGATAGGATAGAGGTTTATAAAATAAAGAATAAAAAAAAGTTCTTCACTTGTTCCCATAATATAAGAACTAGTGGCCACCAAATGAAATGAACGGGCAGCAGGTTTAGAACAAATAAAAGGACGTTCTTCTTCACACAGCGCATAGTCCATCTGTGGAACTCCTCGCCGGAGGAGGTTGTGAAGGCTAGGACTATACCAGGGTTTAAAAGAGAGCTAGATAAATTCATGGAGGTGAAGTCTATTGATGGCTACTAGCCAGGATGGGTAGGGAGCAGTGTTCTTAGCCTCTGTTTGTCAGAGGGTGAAGATGGACGGCAGGAGAGAGGTCGCTTGATCGTTACCTGTTCAGTTCACTCCCTTTGGGGCACCTGGCATTGGCCACTGTGGGCAGACAGGTGGATGGACCTTTGGTCTGATCCAGTGTGGCCGTTCTTATGTTCTTATCCCCTCCATGATTTTTCCGAGGTGCGGCTGACAAGTCTGTAGAGAATTGGGACCTTTCCTTTTTTAAAGATGGGCGCGACATTTGCCTTGTCCTAATTATCTGGGATCCCTCCCGATCTCCCCGAGTTTTCAAAGATCATGGCCAGAGGCTCTGCAATAACGTTTGCCATCTCCCTGAGGACTCTCAGATACATTAAATCCGGCCCCATGGATTTGTGCGTGTCCAACTTTTCTAAATAGTTCTTAACCCGTTCTTTCTCCACCGAGGGCTGCCCACCTCCTTCCCCATACTGCATTGCCCTTGTACAGCAGTCTGGGAGCTGACCTTATCTGTGAAGACAGGGGAAAAAGAAGGCTCGAGTCCTTCAGGTTTTCCTACGTCCTCTGTCACAAGGTTACCTCCTCCATCCAGTAATTGGTGTCAGCAGTGGGATAGGAGGCATTGTAAGGGTCTTGATTAGAGTTAAGATGATTTCTCTCTGTTACAGGGAGAGAGGCCTGGAAAACTTTTAACCCTTACAGCAGTTTTCTTTTAGAAAGTTTTGATTTCCTGCACAGTCCCCCCTTAGACACAATTGGAGTTATTTGATTTTTCTCCCACACCCCCCTCTGACTACGAACAGGCCTGGAGAAACTTCCCTTGTTCCCCTCCGCCCCCCTTGCCAGCTGCAACCCGAACGGCGCTTCGGCCTGCCCGGGGATGCCCCTGTCTGCCCGGGTGAGATGTCCCTCCGCTCCCAGGGGCGGGTCGTGAGCAGGGCCGACTTACCCATTAGGCACAGTGCCTAGGGCCCATGATACTTTTAGGGGCCCACGAAAATGTTTTAATTTCTTTTAAAATCACAAGGGAAAATAATGAACTTTTAGGGTCGAGGAAAATGTTTTCATTTGTTCCTCACATCAGAAAACAAGGAAACTTTTCGGGCCCCGAAAATCTCTTACATTTTGCCGAAAACGGAAAAAAAATAAAATGTCGCCGTATTTAAAGTTAGAGCAAAAATAATTTAAATTATGGTGGGAGAGGCCCACGAAGGCAAAAGTGCCTAGGGCCCACGAAAGTCGTAATGCGGCCCTGGTCACGAGCGGTGCTGGCAGAAGGGGGGCGGGGACGTGGGAGAACGGGTGCCCCACGGTCCCTGCCCCGGGAGAGTCGGCAGGAAGCGCGGGAATCGGCAGGTCTCTTGGGTCTCGCACTCGCCTCTCCCGCGGGAAAGGAGGCGGGGAACGGTTCCCCCCCGGGGACCCGACCCGACGCGGACACGCCGGCCCCAGGGCGCCGCCAGCCACC